TATATATAGAAAAATATATATATATATATATATATATATATAATTGTTTATTAATTTTGAAACATGTTGATTATGCAACACAAGTACATGACAACAATAAATCACATATACATTATTTATTATTTAAATTATATTACCAATAATAAAGTTAAGTTTGAGACATTATGCAGCTACAATTTTACTGTAACGATTTGTAACTTAATATCTCTTACGCTTGCTTATACAAACAATATAATTAAATTAACAAATATTAGTTTAAAACTATTCATATAACTTTTAAAGCAAACATGTCAAATAAAAAATAAAAATATTTATTACAAATATATTTTAAAAAATTACTCCCTTGAGTCCATAATTTTTTTTATATTTTAAAGTTTTTTCACACCTTTTAAGAAATATTTAATATTAATATATTAAGTATAAAATACTATCATTTAATATCTTAAAAAAAATATTTATGAAATATGAATTAAATAAAGGTAATGTAGAAAAAAAATAATTAACATTACTTAGAATTCATAAAATAAAATTTTTTGGATCAAAAGAGAAAGCCTAAAACCTATAAAAAAAAAAGGGGAAATTATGAATGGGGGAGTGGCATATATCCTATGTATGACACAAGTCATCAGTACTCCTTTCAGACATTTTTTTTTATGTTTAACATTTTACACACTCCTAAAAAATATTTCATTTGTTCTTATTTATTACCTAATTTATCAAATAATAAAAATAGTTAAATTAATTGATTTAATTAATAATATGATAATTTGAAATGTTATTCTAAAAGTACTAAAAAAATTAAAGTGTTAGTAGCAATTATATTTAATGATTTCTTTTTCAAGAACAAAATATTTAATAATATTATTTTTTTACACCTTTAATAATATTATTTATAAATCAAGAAATTATTTTTTTACCAATAAACATAGTGTTATTAGTCCAATAAATACATCTACATTCACGAAAATGAATAGATATCTCATTAATAAATTCATAATAAATTAAGGTATGAAATATCATTATCAATTCATACATTTTAAAAATACTTATGTATCTTATAATGAAGATCAAAATAATACTCTCATTTATTTATTTTTAAATAAAGAAGCCAATATAGTATTTAATATTAATGTGTTAAGTCAAAAAACTCACATTTACTATCTTTGATATGAACAATTATGAAGTAGAAATCAAAATTATTAAAGAAGAGTATATGTAAATTAATATCGCTTAAAATATGTAAAACATAAAATAAATAAATAAATAAATAAAAAGAAAAAATTTAAAATATAAAAAATGTTCTTACAAAAAATCGAAGGTATTCCAATCTATGTTTGGGCTGCTCCTTCTCCAAGGCCTTGTGATTCACTTCAGAATGAAGATAACTACTACTTTGTCCAAAGAATGTTTATTCTCGTTAGGTATTCGCAAAATAGATTCCGAACATTAAATTAGTTGTCTTTTTTGCCAAATAGTCCTTATAAAAACATGTTTTATCTCTGATGGAACTGACCTTTTTTAACCGTTCTTCTCCTTTTGTCAATTGACCATCCCGTCCCCTTCTTTAAATTGGCAAGTCCAACCTTGAAAGATTTTGTTAAATTAGAGATGTTAATTTGTTGATGATCAATATTTATTTCTATTTTTTCACACCAATATTTATTTCCATCTTAATGCCTATGTATCCAGTGACAATTCAATTATCTCGTCCTCTGAAATTCGACTTGACAATAAATTTTACGCAAATCTTAACCTTACAACGTGTAGTGATAGGAATAGTGGAATACGACCAATTATTTGAACAAAGTTAAAATTTCACAAAGTTAAAAAAGTGTCCATTTTGATCATCATACATCAATATATAATAATACATCAACTAATACTTTCATGAATAATGATAACAAAAATCATTATTCAACTATCTTAGCACAAATAATATCTTATATTTATTATTTATTTTTTATTCTAATTGAAACAAAAGTTTAACAAGTTTCTCCTATAATATGAAAGATGAAAGATACATGTGATACAAATTTAAGAAAATAAAAAAGGGTTTTATAAATACAAAAATTTAACTAAAATTTTATCTATTCATCTCATAATTTATCACAAAAGTAATTAAAATATAACAGAAATTATATATTTTATTTTAAAATACACAATAAATCATTTAGAAGTATTTTTTCATCAGTCGTCTTGATGTATTCAAAAATTCGATAAATTTTTTTTCAAAATTTGAATATAAAATTAAAAAAAAGTATAGTAAATTCAAAGAAACATTTATTCTTTGATAAAAAAAAAAAAATAAAGGTAAAGCTCCCAAAACTTGAAAGAATTAAAACCATTCCATTTATTTTTGAAACTCTAAAAAGTTTTACACCCCAATTGATTCTATTATAGAGACCAACAATAACCAATAACTCCCCACAAATACAGCTTTCGACTTTCATAATACTTTACTCTTCAAAGAACAATTCTTTTCAAAATCTCAATGACACAAGTATTATACTAATTTTCCAACAATTCCACATATGCATGACGCTAGTATCATTAATTTTCTAACATTTTACATAAAGAACTTAATTGTATAAATAATTTATTTAGTAAAGTCAAAATCCTCGATATCTCTATTTATTTAAAAATATTTTAAAAATTATTAATATTTATTAAATCAATTAATATTATAAAATTTGAATATTTGATATGTAAAAATAATTAATTCTTAATATTATTTTTTACTATTTAAAAATTTAAAAATAAAACAACTCGAAAATTATCCACACGAAAACAAAAAATGACTTTTATATATGTAGGTATAAACAGAAAATGGCTTTTATGTATAAGTATAAATAGATAAGGAGGAATTCATGTCTATAAATAAAACTAGGTTTAACTTATTCATTGGGGCTTACATCCTCTAATGTGATATCTTTAGTAAAATTTCAACATTTAAAACTAAATCACCGGCAAGAAAAGAAAATAAATTAAACTTATCCTTTAAGTTAAACTCAACTTATTACCTTAAAAACTAGATCAACAAGTCGTGGAAAAAAAAACGCGAGATTATTAGAGAGAAAAAGTGTAATTAAGCCGGGGAAATTTTATAGCAATTAAAATGAAAACTTGAGATATTTTCAAGGGACAAGAAAATACTTAACCCACATATTTAAGCATCAACCATTTTGATTGGGAAATAAAAATCTTCGCAGCTAATTTATTTGCAACTTGTTTAATTATTCATTGAAGCTGCCATAGCAGGGTGCCATCCTTACAGCAAGCATGTCTTGTAAAACAACACTTTGAACCCATGTCAACCAAACTCCCATCTCAGAATAGAACTTTTTTCCTTCTTGCTGCAAAATTGCATTTGTGCATCCTCTAGCCAAAGTTTATTCCCTGAGCTAATGGTAGTTCACTTCCATAATTGATGGTACTGCCAAGGACAACAATTATCAACTCATTATAATTATGGGACAGAATAAGAACATATATTCATCATTCACAGAACTTATAACCAAGGAATGCAACATCATGAGTTCAAGTAAGACTTACCATGTAGAACGCCGCATGTATTGCTTCCATGAGTCACTTCCTGCTTCACGACCACCACCTGTTGCCTTTTCTCCACCAAAGGCACCACCAATCTCAGCTCCATTAGTAGGTATGTTCACATTCACTATACCACAATCACTCCCTCGCGGCCTGCACCATATTATGCAATTAGGAATCACCACAAACATCTTTTGAGGGGTTGTAGTAAGTACTGGAGTGAATATGCCAAACTCAATAGCAGATATCTAAACAACAGGACATAAATAGTTTGAGCACTTACCCGATCCATTTGAATATAGTTTCAGGCCTCTGTGTAAAGATTGAACTACTTAATCCTTGAGGTACAGAATTGTTCAAAGCAATTGCTTCCTCCAGAGTCTACGTAGAAAATGAAGTTCAATCATAAGCTAAACTCCAAAAGAAAGTCCAATTAAAGATGATCTAGAATATATGCTACCTTAAATTTCATAACATACAGAACTGGAGCAAACAATTCTTCTTTAACTACAGGAGCATCTGGAGAAATCTCAACAATTGTTGGTTGCACAAAATTTCCTTCTGACTCCAATACAGATCCACCTGTTAAAATCTTCCCTCCCTGATAATCAGAGCATCAAGTACATTATTTCCATACAGAATACAACAATCCAATCCATTGTATGAGTAGAAGCTTGCATATATTACTGAGCAAATTACCCATAAGAAATGGAAAGTTACATCCCCTAAATATTTAACTTAAGTAGAAAAGAGTGACATGAAACATGCCTGAGATTTTATGACTGAAATACCCTTCTGAAAGTTTTCTACTGAAGTACGAGAATGTAAGGGCCCAACCAGAGTCCCATTCTCCAAGGGGTTCCCAATTTTGACTTGTTTGTACAATCCAATAAGTTGGTCTAGTACACTTGTGTAAATACTCTCGTGCAGAAACTGTAGTAAAAGGAAGTTAAATTAATATACCTTTAAAAAAATCACATATGACTGCATTAGAATTATGACATTCAATTTTTTAAATAGGTTCTAATACCAGTCTACGGCAAGTTGTACACCGCTGACCAGCAGTTCCCACAGCTGCAAACAAAACAGAGCGTACAACCAATTTGATGTCTGCATCGTCCATGACTATTATTGCATTATTACCGCTTAACTCCAGCAAGCATTTGCCAAATCTCTCATTAACTGTTTTCTGAACCATCATACCCACCTACATAACAGGGAACACGTCATTATGAACTAAACAACATCATAGATCATAATCTCCAAATCATTCTGAAAACATAAATGTTTGCACAGTTTTGTTTTAATAGGGGCACAAGAGCAACATTCATGATTAGACAGTACATGACACATGGAAGTAATTGCGCTAAAGGTTGATGCTTAGTATATTATTAGATATCACATGTTTTTATGACAGTGACTGCAATAAGACTGACACAATTAGTACTATAGGCAACTAAACTGAACATCACTGGTGACATTTACATCTTTTAACACTATATAAATTTATACATCCTATTGAAATTAGTTTAATTATGTCACCTGTTTAAAATATTATGAGCCTGTTTAGATACAGGCTAGAAGTGCTTTTGATAGGTTCTTTACTGAAAATAAAGAGTATTTTCTAGCAGAGAAACTCTCAAAAGAGCTTCTAAGCTTATATCCAAATAGAATTTATCCAAATCCTAAGTACACAAAGTACCTTTGAACTCCCGGTAAATGAAACCAGGGGGATGCGTGTGTCTTTTGATATTGCCTGACCAATTTCAGCACCTCCACAGAAAGAGGTGAATATTGCACCAGGTAAATTGTTCCTCTCAAGAACTTCAGCTACTAGCTTTGTCACAGCAATAGTTATCAAAGGAGTTGTTGGAGCGCCCTTCCTTTAATGCATGTTTCAGAAAAAAATCTTATATTAAAACACATTGTCGTTGAAAATTTTAAACACTCAAAAAGAATCTGACTAGTGACAATATATCACATAAAATGTTCAAACAGATCTGCATAATTGGCACTGACAGAAAATTTGATAATCTTTTCTAATAGACCTTCTTTCTTGGCTGTGTATATTATATAAAACTTTTTTTTTGGGTGGGGGGGGTTGCGAATGTGTAGGCAAATAGCACCATAGGGATAAGCATGAAGTATGCAATCATTATTAAGATAAATCAGAATTCAAGGATTATTGAACTACAAAAATATATTGCACTTCAACCATTATCATTTCATGAACAACAACAAAAGCCACAAAGCTTTACCCCAGTAGGAGGGATAGGCTTCATGGATTGATGTCATTGAGATTTTTTGCACCTAGTGAAAAAGAAAATAAGTCACAGCAAATGCAATTGGAGAAGTAAGGCATTTTATCTCCTAAACCTCCAGCTTCTTCTGCAACAACATTGTCATCTAAGATATATTCATCTAATACAAATAAAATTTTGTTAGAGATTCATCAAGGAAGTGGATTGTGCTAACAAAATGTGTAGTTAGCATGGAAGCCTAATAAAAGTCAAGATGTTCACCATATCTCTGTTTCTGAACAACCATACTAATTGGGAGCTAATAAAATACTTACACTAAACACTAATGCATCAAGAACTGAAGTATTGATTAAAAAGAGTTGAGACTTGAGAGTTTAACAGAGGTACAGATTCCTGCACTAGTTTAAGTAAAAAAAAATGGAGGAACACAAGAAGACCAACGAGAAGTCTACATATATCATTATTCCAAGTTCCAACCAATTTAGCAAAGGAAATATCTCAATCAAGGCCGATTCTTACATGAAAATAGAGAAAAAAATATACATATTGTACAGGTCATGATATTAACAAAATCAATCATGATCAAACTTAAAAATGGCCAGTTTAGTAATTTCATAAAATATACAGAGATAGATGTATAGACTTACCACACAACAGAGTTACCACAGACTAATGCAATGCAAGCATTCCATCCTGAGGCACAGCAGAAATAAAAATGTTTTAATTACAATAAAAACATCAAAAAAAAAAAAAATTCAGAGCATAGAAAATGGACTATATGACACAAAATGCAGTCAAACTAGATGGAAAAACTTCAAGGAAACTATCAGCTCATATATGTCAGCATCCATCCATTTATATAATGTATAGGTCAGTAATGACACCAATACTTAATTTTTGACTGAAAAAGATTCAAAATCACAAACCCCAATCTAATTTTTTCTTTTAATTATATGAGGAGCAGCTAAAAAGTAATAAAAAGCTAAAACATATTACCAAATGGAAATGCATTGAAAAAGGACAGAGATCTGTAAAGTGATCCAAACAAGGTAATGAATTGGCTTATAACAAGCTTAATTAATTGATGACAATGTAAACTTTTATCAGAAAGACAGCTCACACATAATCAAGTTGACTACAAATCAAGATGACTCCTAGATACAACAGATTTTCAGGTGAAGTTAACAATGCATGCCAAAATTGGATGACCAAATGAGGGTGAATGAAAACACTACCATTTTCAAACTGATTATATGTATTGTTGAACTGATATCTAAGATCCAGAGGAATTTGTTGCTGTGTGAATTAGACAGGATGAGAAAAAACATACCTAGAACAGCGCATGGAAAGTTGAAAGCAGTGATTACGCCAACTATTCCTAGTGGGTTCCAAACCTGTGGTGTAAAAGCAAGCGTTACAGTTAATAACTTAATATCATAACTACTAGTATAAATCAGCACAAAGGTCAGTGAATCATTATACATAAATACGCACCTCAAACATCATATGATCTGGACCTGTTAAAAAACAAGTAGAAGAAAACAATAACTCAAAGCTGGAATGTCTTGGAGAGAAATCAGCATCAAAACAAAAGACTATATCTAACTACAAATTATTTTAAATAACTATGCAACCAGAAGGATTATAAAGAAAAGATGAACAGCTAATATAGATCCACAACAATCTTACGTTCTGATGGTATAATTGATCCATTCAGTTGTCGGCTTAGCCCAACAGCATAATCACACATATCGATAATTTCCTGCAATGGATAGAATTAAAGATAACAAAACTATATCATATACAAATCCAATGAGCAAAATATTTCTCATAATATTTTTCTCTTTTACATGGTGTTTGTGATTAATTTAGATCTGTGCATAATCAGAAAAAATACTAAAATGCATTCAGAGTGCAGTTAGCCTATACACACACACCAAACATTTATGCAATACCCCCAACAGGAGAGTGAAGCAACATTGAAAATAAGGACAGGGATATAAGCCAAGAAGATGCAGTCAATATTGAACAAATCTGAAATATAAGCAATTTAATAAAAAAAAATTCTGAATAGAAAAACCATTTTATTTTTGAGTAAAAAATAATATTATCTTCTGAGAACAGAACCCTTCAATTAGGTGAAAACATATGTGATCGAGGAAAAAGATGTAAATGTAGTAAGATAACTGCAGCTTCTAAGGAAGACCCCCACGAAAAAACATGAAAAATAATTACTTGGGAAATCCTCAAATCCCTTCAAATTTCAAAGAACATCTGCCATACGAATCACCAGATAATCAGCTACAGGGTACAAAATTTCATCAAAACGACATAAATTTGGATACCTCTACACATTTCATCATGCTAACTTCAAATCAGAAACAGTTGAAGCTCGCCACCAAATATCTTGATCTAGTTTACATTAAAGAAGTATCAAAGCCTTATACGCAATCTAAACTAATGAGTACCTGAACCTCCCCAATTCCTTCCGGAAGGATTTTTCCCATCTCAAGAGCCACCAGCCTACCCAGAGGATCCAATTTGGCCCTCAATGCATCACCAATCTGTCTCACAATCTCACCTCTCTTAGGAGCCGGAATCTGCAACAACATTACAATCACATCCTCAATTAGTTTCCAATAGCCCGTAGATGCAGTACTAACAACAACTCCACATGTAACCAGAACACAACCATAAACCCACACCCCCAAAAAAAAAAATTTTTTTTTTTAAAAAGAAAACTCACAGTCATCCATTTCTTGGTTGCTTCACTGCAAGCTTGCAATCCCTCCTCATAATCTTGCAAGGTTGCTTCAGTCACTTCAGCTATAGTCTAATTTAAAATCACCAATAAAAAATCATACGCATGCAAGTAAAAAAAAAAAAAAAAAAGGGGCAATAAATCCTCAGAAAATATATATTTTTTTTTTTTAAAAGTTATAGAAGGTGAACCTGATTGTTAGAAGGGTTACGAGAAGTGACGGAAGAACCGGTGGCTTTCCATTGACCATTGATGTAAGAGCCAATGTTGGATGAACCCAACCCGATCTCCTTCAGAAACTCCAAGCTCATGTTATCAGAACCCATTTCTCTGAAACCCAAATGAAGTTACCAGGTGCGTATAATTGATACAGAAAGTGGGAAAATAATACTTTATTTATAGACACGGATCTTCAATTCATAATATCTGACAGGGACAGAGAGGGACGGGCAAAAACTGACGCAGATTTGGAGATAATGTGCCATAAAAACAATGAATATGTTAGAATTGTTATGAATAAAAATTTGTGAGTTAATGAGTGGATATTAATATTTATTATTAATTATTATTATTTATATTTTTGTTATGTATTATTTTTTTTATTGTATAATTATTCAGTTATTATATGTATTTATAAATAAATTAATTTTTATAAGTCAGATTTTTTTTTCTATTTTATATTATTTTAATTATTCTCTCTATTTATCTTTCTTTTATAACACGTTATCAACACGATAGTTTTTTACTTATTGGTGTTACAACTACAAGAAAAAGCTGTGAAGAAATTTCTTCAAGAAGATCATATTTTTCAAAACAAATATTTCAAGGTTAGCTACTCATTTTCCATAATAAGAATTTTATCAAATATTTGTATTGTTTATACTATTATGTATTAAAGTAGTATTGAAGACATTATAATAGTCCTGAAGACACTATTAAATAAAAAATATATATACATTTGTGAAATGTGTCTAGAAGATGTTATCAAAAGAGAATATTCAATCTCTTTTAATTTGTTATTTTTTCTCACCAGAAGTGAGAAATATCAATAATTCATTGACGTAATATATTTTGTCATTATATTATATAATCATGTTTTCATATTATGAATTTGATAGAATATTTATTGTCAAATAAAGACATTTTAATATTTTTTTCTCACCAGAAGTGAGAAAATGATGAAAAAAATGAAAACGAAAGAATAAATTTTCTCACTAGAAGTGAGGAAATAATATGAAAAGTGAAAAATAAAATAAATTTCACCAGAAATGAAAAATTTGATATAAATATATTACATTGTATTTGATCATTTGATATAAATGAGGTCACCACCAAAAGTGGAATAATTTTGTCAATGCCATAATTATAATGTTAAATGATATTTGAGACATTCATGTGTTACGTCATTGAATCTTAAAGAGTTTAGTTTCAAATTTTATCGATAGAATTGATATTATTTATTTTCATAATGTTATGCGCTAATTATTTTAATTGATGGAGATATCATTACGTTATAATTTGACTGTGATTTGTACAAAAATACTAGAATTTAATGAAATTATGATTAATGTTTATTTCCTTAATTTTTTGATACAACATTAGTAAGGAGAATAATTTTCCTAATTTTTAGCATTATTTTTTATCTCCTTAAAGTCAACCTAGCAATGACATAAATATATTTTTATTAATGATTTTTTTTAATAAATATAATGAGAAAGATTCATTTTTTTTTATAAAGAAAGACATAAACAAGTTATGATTTTTTTTTAAATGAATATGATTGTGTTGTATCCTTCATTTTCTAAAATGATAAAATAAAGTGTTAGTGAGATATGATTTTAATATTTTTTGTATGAAATATTTATTTGTAAATAATATAGCGCAGCCCCCTTAGTGGGTTTCCTGTCGGGCCTTTGTCCTTACAGCATTTGTGGTCATTTTTCATTACTCCATTAAAGGGGGATGCCCCTTGCACTGATTTCGTTTGGGCTTTTATCCACAAGTCATGCCAAGTTTGATTGTATAAACAGTGAGATATCTCTCATGTCTAAAAAGTTAAAGGAGATGCTAAAGAATAAATGAAGATTAAGGAACTTCCACAAAAGAAAGGAAAGATTTAGAAGCCAAGTCAAATCGGCAACAATGAAGTTATTTGTTATGAATGTAAGAAGCCCGACCACATGAAAATAGACAGCCTTTCTCAAAGAAAGAGGTGGTCTTCCAAAAGTAAGGGTAAGAAGAGTCTAATGGCTATTTGGGAGGATTTGGATGCAATTGCAACAGTTCAGATGATGAGAAGACCAACATATGTTTTATGCAAGCATATAAATAACCATTAATAAAGGGAACCAAATATTTAAATTATTATTCTCGATTGCACTAATTTCATCATAAGATACAGATTTAGGGCGTCATTCAGTGCCTAACACCTTCCCTACATGTAATCGACCCAAAAACCCAAATTCTAGTTGTAAAGGCCATTTTGGCAATTTTAAAACCTTTTTTTCTCCTTTTTTTGATGTTTTGAGTAAAACATCGGTGGAGACTCCATGAACTCTTTTCAAAATCATTAGTTAGAGATTAGTCTATTGTCTGGACATTTCCTAATTGATGAGATTTTCAAAATGGAAGTCTAAACTATCTATGGATAAGATCAAAATTTTTCAGGTTCTGACAGATGGAAACTTCATTAGGGAAGCTTAAAAAGGGTCAGACCTAAAATGAATGATAAAATTAGCACAATAAGAATAATAGTTCAAATATTAGTTCCCTTTACTTTGTTTATTTTGTAAGAATTTTTATTTGGCTCTTATATCTGTATATCTGTTCAAGTTCGACATCTGTTTGAAAATAAATAATTGTACAAAAACCCTTGCACACAATAGTTTCCTCTATACCCGAGGGCATGAGCATGTAAACATAGGGAGTGGTTGTTGTACGACCGACCCAAGAACGACCTTAGAGCCTGCAAGCCTTGTCAAAAATTACTCTCGAGGTGATAACTGGCTACTCTAATTCGAAATACTACGTTAAACCTTAGAGTTTGTCAAGTAACAGTGACAGAGATACTGGGTCTCTATAATGGAGGCACCTTGGGGGTCTTTAAAGACTAGTAAGATTAGAACTTTCCTATACAAAACACTTTCTTTGACAAGGACCACAACCTATGGATTACTAAACAAGATTCCCTATGAATTGGAGAGGAATAAGACCCAACATATCATACTTCCATTCTTTTGGATGTGAATGTTATATCCTAAACATTAAGGATCAACTAAGAAGTTTGATTCCAAAGTGGACAAAGGTATCTTTCTTGGATTTTCTAATACATTAAAGGCTTATAGAGTTTACAACTCTAGAACCTTTGTGGTAGAAGAATCTATCCACATAAGGTTTAATGATGCATTAATGATTGATAGGAAACTATCTAGAAGAAGACTTTTCAGATTTGAAAATTGGAGGAGATTAGACGAAAGAACCAAACACTACAAATCAAATGATGGACTCTCCTAAAGAAAAGGTGAATCAATCAAACAAATTCACCAAACCTCATAGAGACTAGAAGTTCATAAACTAACATGCTCAAGACTAGATCTTAGGTGATGAGACTAAAGGCAAGAAGACCAAGTGATGGAGGACCATCCTTGAAGACCATAAGACCTTTGACAAGCTCTATGGTTAGGAGGCTAAAGAAAGCTACTAGAAAGGATGATGTGATTCATAGGCATAAAGTATGTGTTCTCCTAGTTTCTTAGTCTTTTATTGTATATATTGTATATCATATTTTTGACCATGTGTTTTGGGTCAATTAGTATACTAATTTTCATCCTTGTATAATTTTTCTTTAAGGGTGTAATTAGTAGTTTAGGGGAGACGTAACTAGCTTAAGCCATAAACTTATTTGGGCTTGGATGACCCAAACATTTTCCAAGTAGTGTAGATTTTGATATTAAATTGATGTCTAAAGATACACGACAATAATGTCATTTTTATAATAATTTTTCAATTTAAAAAATATATTGTATTTTTCATACATCTATTTTGCTCTAGAAGTAGCAATATTTTTTTTATTAAAAAAAAGGATTAAGTAATATCGTAGTTTGTTTATTGTCTCTTGAAGACTAAAACAAAATATTGAGATTTTTTTTATGTAAGAGACTATTTTAACTAACATTATTTCATTCCCTGAAGTGAATGTTCTAATGTATTAATTTTTGTCTTCTCATATTCAATAATGCGAGAAATTAATGTTATATGATACTACAAATATAATTGAAGGCTTCAGAAGAGCTAATATATTATTACTGAAAGAAACGAAGTTCCATATCACAAATGCATTATATTTTTTTATGTCTTACAGGAACTTATTGAGTTTCAAGGATATTCGTTTAAATGAGTTTTATATTGAAACAAACAATGAAGATCATGATGCAAAAAATAATTAAAAATTCATGCGGACATTTATTGAAGAGCCGGGAGATTCTTCAATCAAATATTTTTTCATATACCGCTTATTTCCAAGGAAAGTTAATAATTAGATCATCACCAGCAAAAATTGGGCATGAATCTCTTATTTTTAGAATGAATACAAGGTGATATTTGTGGACCAATACACCCCCTATGTGGACCATTTAGATATTTTATGGTTTTAATTGATGCATCAACAAGATGGTTACATGTTTGTTTATTATCAACTCGCAACCAGACGTTTGCGAGATTATTAGCTAAACTAATTAGATTAAGAGCTCATTTTCCTGATTATCCAATTAAAAAAATTCGTTTGGATAATGCTGGTGAATTCACATCTCATGCTTTTAGTGAGTATTGTATATCCATTGGAATTGATATTGAACATCCAGTAGCACATGTTCATACACAAAATGGACTTTTAGAATCATTTATCAAACGTTTAAAACTAATTGCAAGACCATTACTCATGAGATCAAAACTTCCAATGTCAACTTGGGGGCATGCAATCTTACATGCCGCAATATTAATTCGCATCAGGCCAACAAGTTATCACAAATTCTTTCCTTTACAGTTGGTTTTTGGTGAGCAACCTAATATTTCTCATTTGAGAATCTTTGGGTGTGTTGTATATGTTCCAATTGCCCCTCCTCAAAGAACCAAAATGGGTCCTCAAAGAAGGTTGGAAATATATGTTGGGTATGAATCTCCATCAATAATAAAATATCTTGAACCATTAACAGGAGATTTATTTACGGCTAGGTTTGCCGATTACCATTTTAATGAGTTGATCTTCCCAACATTAGGAGGAGAACAAAAACAACTAGAAAAAGATATTACTTGGAATGAATTATAATTATCTTATCTTGATCCTCGTACAAAACAATGTGAACTAGAAGTTCAAAAGATAATTCATTTGCAAAATCTAGCCAACCAATTACCAAATGTATTCACAGATCCAAAAAGGTGACTAAGGCATATGTACCAGCGGCTAATGCTCTAATAAGAGTCGAAGTCCCTGTT